AATAAGAAAAGTGCCAGAAAAAAATTTCCAAATTGGGGGGGAGGGGTTGGGCAAAAACCGAAAAAAAATCGAGCACAGCTTTCAAGAGTGAATAAAAAATCGTGCATAAGAAAAGAGCCAGAAAAAAATTTCAAATTATGTTCAAAAAGAATTCCTGCACAGCCATGAGGCGTAAAAAATATTCCTGCACAAAATAAATTGTCCAATCCCCCCCTCCCCTCAAACATCTAATGGTCCGTTCCTTAGACAATCGTGTGTGTTACCATAATCCTGTGGCGCGAAAACCGCTGCTTTGTGATTGGTCAGGACGTTAATGTTCATAGAGTGAACTGATAAAGCTTTGAATTATGCTATCGATAAGGTGTTGGCCTTCCTACATCCTATATCCATCATCATTTCATTGAATATTTAAAATGAGTTGAATATTTTTACTGATCGGCTGTCTATAGAATTTAGCCTGCTAAAAATCTATATATGATGATTTTATTTCAGAGTTCCACATATGTGCCCCAGACAAAACTTTGTGGAGTTCACGTTTGTTTTAGTCGTTCTCTTTACTTTTTTCTTTCGTTTTTCCTTTTTCCTTTTGATTAAAATCGACATACCGTGTTATCCGCAGCAATTCTGTGGCGTCAAAATTTTGTAATTTTGTTTTAGAATAGCTTGCTGAACGACACAATATTGTGACGTTATTTCTTTCGTATTTTTTTGTAGGAGAAAACATCGTTAGATAACAGAAGGATTTAGCGGATGAAAACAACAATAATTGTAATGGGTTCTTGGTAAAACTAGTATAGTACCACACTGTTATCATGCTGTTTTTGTGCGTTTTTCCCGCAATTTTTCTGCTCATTATTATGAAGTTAAAACCCATTTAGAGATCGTCATTACGGACACGAAAAACGTTATCATAGGACCACATCTGCATAATTTCAAAATCAAATATTTTCTCTAATTTCTTTTTGCAATTTCTTTCCTACCATATCAATGGAGAGCGGAATGATTCCGCCCCATTAACCATGTTCCTACGAAGTACTTTAATGTGGAATTCAATCATTACGATTTTTTAGTCGAAGCCTAAGAGCTCTTTCAATTTTTTTCTCGTAAGTAGTCATTCAGTAAAATGAGATGATGATATATGTGCATTTTTTTTATAGTTTCTTCCTGTCGTAATCATATATTACTGTTCCTCTTTTTTGCTTGACTTAATCAGTAGCAAACAAATCTGCAAGGCTATTTTGCACCAAATCAGTTCACTTCAAAAAGCTCTATTTTTTCGGCGGTGGTAGTCAATCAGTCGACACACTAAGGCAACAAAAGACAATCCACACCTTTTTATGGTTTCTTCTTGACCTATCAACACTCGTCTCTATTCAACTTCCACTTCATTTACCTTACAACATAAGCCCACCACGCCGATTTCCAGTTTCTTGTTTTCTTTATCATATTATATCGTTCAGCAGGGGTGAATATCATCTTTTTTTTTTTTTTTTTTCCACCTTGGTTTCAACAGTTTTTTCTTCTAGCCATTTGTTTGATTTTCTGTGTTGGTATATATAACTGGATAGCATATCGTAAATGTGTTAAAACCCCTGTATAAATATGGTATTTATGACCCAATTTAAGCCAGTAGACAAGACACTTTTGAGGTACGGTACTCAACAAAAGTCTCATTATTAGGTGTTTTTCTGCTTGGCATTATCAGTCGCGTACATTAAGTTTCTTTAAGTAACGTGATTTCAGTTTTCCCGCCTGGAGCTCTGATTTTTYCCCGAGAACAAATAGATTGATGGAACATAATTTATATGTCTGATCATAGTTAATAGAGGGGTCTAATAAATGTCATTGCTATAATTAGTCTTCCCATACGGCAACGAGTACTTTACTTAACGGAGTTGCAATGTTCATGTGTACATTGCTCCGTAATATAGTAATTGGCATGCACCATGAACGCTGCAACTCCAGCATGCATCCGGCACAGAATTGATTGCACTATCTGTTCACCTCTGCGACCGTTGCGTGTAACCGTTACTGCGACAGTGCGTTCACCAAGTTTCAAATCATTTTATGCACAAGTCTGCAACGTTGCCAAGAATTACGTGATTTTCTCAGCTAATGATTCAGCTCTTCCGTAGTACCAATATAATTCGGAAACAAGTGAGTAGCTTTTCTTAATGAATTTGCAGTGCATATTTGGGACTGTTGTGGGGGACGAAATAGACGCTATCTTGGAAATATGTTAAAATCAGCCCCACAATGCACTGCAATGACAACTCGTTCCAGTCTTTTACTTAACCTCGGAACGACTAATAGCTTGTTTTTGTTTTTAAGAAAAGTTGTTTGTTATTCGTTTATCACATCACTAAAAAAAACTCTTTCGCCAGCTACACTGAACACACCAGTCGTACCGCGTTTTGAATTATTTTCATTTATATTATTTTTTATATTATTTTATTTATATACTTAATTTATTATAATTGGAATGCGCATCTAGATGAGGAAAGGCCGACATTAAAGATTTCTCTGATTAATGACTACGTTTATCTCCTAGACTTGTGCGCAAATTATTTTCTTCCATAATCTCTTTTTCTGACGGTCTTTCTCGTCTGTGGTTTGGATCCTGGGAGGTAATCAAGTCAAAACCACGACTGGATATCCATAAAAACGCAAGCTAAATCAAACTCAAAAAAGCCAAGCAAAGAATAATCAATAATCAATAATCAATCAATCAAAGTTCCATGGGCCGTACATGGTGGATTATTGAGACGATATTGTTTGGTTGTGTCAATCAATACAATACAATACAATGTGTTTCATTTATACCAAAGATTACATTTACAAAAGAATGGTAGAGGTTACCTAGAATAACTATATAAAGCTAAACGAGCTAGGTAACACAAATATCTGAAATTACAAAGAATAATGGGTGGAAAAGAAGACTAAAATATAAAGATTACAATATCGATAGGTATCTATATATACATTATTATATATATTTATGATTATTAAATTATAATTATACGTACTGTATTACTATTTACATTATCTTAATCCTATGTATGCACACAAACACACACACATTAAAGAAAAGAAAATGAAAAGCACACACTAGACATTCACATACAAAGAGAAAAAGATATTTATTAAACAATCGTAAAGGGACATGAGGTCAGATACGGGCACAGATTGTAAACCTCAACATAGTGATAGGCATTTCATGGTCAGTCTCACATTGACGAAGGAGACATCTAGCGGTTAAAGTCTGAATGGAAGGTCGCAAAACTGAGCACGAATCGTAACCCTCAAACAGTGATAGCCTTCATATTTAATATTTCTCAGGCACGAGGGAGACTTTTAGCGGTGCAAGTCAAAAATAAACATTTTTTATAATTTCATGTTTTAGTGATAATTATAAGATCGAGCATGTTTAGAAAACCAATGACTGCATTTAGATTACGAAACATGACATTTAATGATCCATTATTAACAATCATCATCACCTGTAAATCACTGAAAAATCTAATGTGTTATTGTCAGTGTCGCCCTGGTCAGTTAACCATGCATTGACTGTGATCTTTGTAACTGGAGTGGGCGGGGTATTCTATAATGAACCCAAGAAAAACTATTAACTTTGATTTTTTTTTAATAAGTTACAAGGGGGGCTGAAGTCTCCCCTCAGCAGAAAAAAACAAAACTTTTTTCATTTTTTTCCGTTGTGTTGACGGAAGAAACTCCATTAGCCCCCCTCCCCTAAAATTTTGGCTGCATCCGCCTTGATGAATGAGTATTTGGCAGCAATGTTAGTTCATATTTACGACTAACTTAAAAACTAATTATAGTAAATCTACGATTAAAGCCTTGGGAAAACTAATGGCTGTTTGTCTGAATTTTATGCATGCGTATAGTTGCTTCTTTCCTTTGAAATGGTTAAGCCGAGTGCATTGAATAATCAGTATTAACAAGAGAAAATGAACTAAGAGAAGGAATCCCCGCGATCCATCATGAGCAGTCTTTGATGCTAGTTTTAGGGCCATTGATGCTATTTTTAGAATCAATCATTTGATCGTTTGTTTTTCTGCACGCGCATACTGCTTAGGCCGTGGCTAAACGAGGAAACATGTTTTCTTAAATGTTTCCAAAGGTGGCAAAACTGTCAAGAGACATCGGGAAACATCGGTTAGCGCATGCGCACTTTCAAGATAGAGCTAGCGTTGCTAAGTAACGAACTTGTAGAATGTTGACTTTCGTGGCTAAACGAGGAAACATTGGGAAATATTGTTTCCATGCGTCTTGGAAGCATAAAATGTTTCTGCCGCGCAGCAGAAACATTTTTGTGTCTTGGAAGCAAAATTTGTTGCACGTAGCAATGTTTYGCATGTGGCTAAACTTGGAAACATCGGGGAACGTGCGCGCGGGAAACATATTTCTGGAAACGTGTTTCCTCGTTTAGCCAAGGCCTTACTGTTTACTCATGTTTTCATGTATTTTTCAAGAAAACTTGAGCAAACAGCGTAGAGTGCGCACATTTTGCGCGCACAGAAAAACAAACGATTGCAAATGTGATTCTAAAATAGCATCAAACGGTGCCTATGATGGTTACAAGCATGAATACCAGAGATTTCTTCTCGTCATTTTCTCTTTGTATTAGGATAAACCCGATAAATCCTTAACAATGAACGTTTTTCTTCTTGCTAAATCTTATTCCAATCATCAAACTTCAAGTGGTAATTGCAGTAATGGGAACTTGAACGAGCAAACGAAATCCTCCTTATATGAATTTTCTCACTTGAAGACAATACCTCTGCAATTTAAGGTTGTGTGTTATTAGTGTTAATAAATAGGCGCAAATTGCTATTTTTCTCATTCTTTTATACGTATCTTATCTTCTTGATTGCTTCCTTCTTCGCACGACTGTTTGATAACATTAGTCAGCGAATAGGGATAAAAAGTGAGCGTTTTTCTCAACGCTGCCGTATACCTTCTTCAATTCCAGCCGGGTCGGCTTGTACAAATATTTATCTTGAACAAACTCAAAATGGGCTGCAGTATTTCAATGAAGAACACAATGTGTAAAAAGGATGGAGAATGTCTTGCATTAGGCGAGACACTGAATTCTGCTGAAATACTCCTTATTCGACAGACTTGGCTCAGTCTTGAACAAGATATTAAAAATATTGGAAAAGAGTTATTCTTGAGGTGAGATATATATGCTTTCATACTTGCTGATTATTTAATAGAACCTAAATACAAAACCTATGTAATTCTGAGACAAAAATTCAAAATTTTTATTTTTGTTTGCAGGATATTTCAACTTTTAATTGTTCATCTTTTAATGAAATAATTGCATTTTTAATGATTGTTTTACGTTGCCAAGGAGAATGGTTTCTTTCCCTCCATCGCTGTTGAATGTAATAAAGGCCGTGACAAACGGTCCCAACATTTATCCCAACATTTAACTCAACACTAATTTGTAGCCAAACTTTGGCCAACATTTTGACCCTACCATGACAAACGGTCCAAACATTTGATCCAACATTTGTAGCCAATATTTGGCCAACATTTTGACCTAACCGTAAACGGTCTCAACATTTGACCCAACATTTTTAGCCAAACGTTGGCCAACATTTTGACCCAACCATGACAAACGGTCCCAAAATTGGACCCAATATTTTTAGCCAATATTTGGCAAGCATTTGGGAACCAACCTTAAAATGTTAACATTTGACCCAACATTTTTAGCCAAACGTTGGCCAACATTTTGACCCAACCATGACAAACGGTTCCAACATTTGATCTAATATGCTTAGTCAAACTTTGGCCAACATTTGAAAACCAACCTTAACAAACGGTCCCAACATTTGACCCAACATTTTTATGCAAAATTTGGCCAACATTTTGACCCTACTTTTTCAATTGAAGTTTCTTTTTTACGTACTGTTTTCGGCTCAAATGCAAAGTTCAATAGTAGGGAGTCACTTTAAAACAACGATTTAGACTTAGATTCAAGGTTTAATTTGATATTTCATTATCTCTTCTCAGATCGGAGCACTGCACTAAGCCGTTGCCCTTGTCTTCCTTGCTAACAAGTTAACGTTATATAGGAAAACCTTTTGAGAACTTTGACTCCTTGGCAGCGTCTACTGACATTTTTTTGCTCTTAGTCTCCTCAAAGTAGTTTTGATTCCTCTGAGCCATCACACCCGTGACAACATTTTACCACAATCTTTCTCGTTATAGGTACTTCGAAAAGAATCCATCTTATCAAAATCTTTTCCCTGAGTTCCGGAACCTGAGCCGTACTGAGATGGAGCAGTCTCGTGCCGTTTTAGGGCATGGAAAACGAGTCATGAAGGCAATAGAAAACGCTGTTGCAACTTTACACGACCATGAAGTCCTTAAAAGTTATTCTATAGAACTGGGAAAGAGACATGTAAACAGGAAATTAAAGGAGTATCATTTAAAAGTAAGTTTTTATGTAAACGTATATTCTTAACTTGATTTATATGTACGGTCTAACCAAGTGGTCAGGTTGGATTATACATGTTGAGATGTCGTATAACCAATGGACAGTTACAGTGATACCTCTATTATGTGAATCTCTCATGAAGCGGACAACCTTCATTAAAGAATCCTAGTCAGCTACAATGCATTGCGCGCCGGAATCAAAACAATAGTCCATCTTCTCTGCCAGGCAGAATGGCGAATTTGTAGGTGAAGTTTGAAAATCCAGTTCCTGTTATGTACAGTGTACAGGGTAAATGATATAAAGACTAATAAAACACAGCTTCAGTGGGTAGTTCTAGTTCTTTACTAGAGATCTCACACACGCACGAGGTACAAATCATGTGATGCAAATTAACATAAATTGACATATGTTACAGTTCCATCATCAGTCTTGTTATTCCTGCTAGACGCTTTAAGATAATCACTGATAGAATAAACTGATAAGTACATTCATTTTATGCTTTCCATGAGATTTTTTAAATTTTGGCAACGAAAATAAGGTAAATTTCAAAAGTTGTGTTGTCTAACAGTTGGGCGACAGAAAAGTCATAATGAATTCAACCGACTTGCTGTGGAATGAAAGGAAGGGATCTTTGAGAATAGACCAGTTTCGAATTCCAAATTACCGCTGGTTCCGGCTTGATTACAGACTCATTTGCACAGGGTTAGCCTCGTATCAGTGTTTAACTATTCACAAATACCAACGGTAAAGTAAAGAATGCACAACTTCAACAATACAAACACTTTGAAACTCGACGGGCCTTGACTGAAACACGTGAATATTGTGCACAAACTCGAGGCTAACCCTGTGCAAATGAGTCTGTAATCAAGAAGCACAGCGGTAATTTGGAATTCGAAACGGGTCTATTTGAGGACTTTGAGGACTTTGGCATAGCGAATTTGCAGAAATTGTGCTCCACCAGTGCATGAAAGAGCTTCGAGAACGATGTTAGGGAACGATGTAAGCAATGATATAGGGGCGCAATTCATCGTAGTCGACTATGATTTTTTAAACGAGGGATAAATGTAAGTTCCCGTATATTTCCTTGCATATTTATTGTAAAACAAACCCCTATTCAAGGCACCATGCGAGTTCTTTCGCTTTTAAAATAAAGGTATCACTGTACTTGTTTATAACAGCCAAAAATTGTCTTATTTTGCGATTCACGTTTTTGTTTTTTGTTTTTTTTTTCTTCAAAAGATATTGCCACAAAAGTGAAGATATACAATGTAAATCAATTAATAGCTATTTAGAGTTAAATAAGAAAATAATTCTAGAAATATGTATATCTATGAATATCTGCTCGATGATTGGTTATCTAGCTTCAAGGACTACAATTAGATTATTTGCATACTAACCGGGACCCTTTGAACAAAATTTAAGATAAATAAGACTTTAGCCAATCAGGAGACGGCAAAATCAAAATTATATTGACCTCAGCCAATCACATTCCCACGTTTGTTGATAAGTTTTTCTCAGAAATCTAGGCTTTGTATAATTCTCGCCTCTGATTGGTTCAAGTTTGCATTAAGTTTGATTCCTTTGTTTTCACTCTATGCCGTGATTGGTTAACTTTCTTCAAGTGGTCCTGTTTGTGTCCACACAGTAAACTCGGAGTTCGTGATTTAAAGTCTTGTTTAATGCGTTCAACTTTACCAGTAACAACTGTCCAATTTTTATTGATTTATCGTTTATTCATTGACTTAATTTGTTTATTGGACTTCTTGTTAATTAGGATATGAGGAGAGCTTTCATTGATGTCATACGTGAAAGGCTGAAGGATGTCTGGACAAGAGAAGCGGCAATTGCCTGGAGTAAACTTTTTTGTCGAATAAGCAATGGCATATTGAAAGGCATCAGTGCAAGTTGTTGAAAGAAAATAAAACAGCCTATTGTAAGATAACTGAAGTCAAGATAGGATGCAACAAAACAACAACAACAACAACAACAATACATGGGTTATCACATGAGGTAAACTGAAATAGCTGGCAAAGATGGCTAACAGATTCAAAAAGACAGTTATATGATGATGATGACGTAAGAGGCAAGCGTACCATAACTATTCAATGTCATTTGCATATATTCAGTATATCATCTATACACGCCACCACTGTTATTTTATAAAAATATATAAACCCTGTCTTCAGATTGATCTACGAACTATTTAAATATCCTCCGCATTATGTTATCAATACAATCCATTGTTATGATAAACTCTGTCTTCGGATTGGTCCACGAATTATTTAAATATTCTCCGCATACATTATCTACCACTCTTTGCAAAAAATCGGTCAAGAGCACAACTGGTACTTTTGTAGCACTCCCGACCCACCCTTATAATCTGTGTTCGGTGATGACCATGTTTTCTTCGACGTCGGGTTTCTTTTGCGCGTTTTCTTTTCTTAAACCACTACGTCCTTCCTCAGTCATAGCAGATAGCTAGTGGAGAGAGCCCGTGAGAATCTGGGACCGAAACTTATGGAACTTTAGAGTTCGATATGAAAAATATCAGTGCGATCACCCGGGGTGCCATCAATATGACCAAATCTGTGGGATATCAACAAGAAAATCAATCGATTTCATCTAATTTCTTTGCAATTTCTGCTCTGCAAAGCACTTTCGTTCATTAAAAATCCGCCCATAACAAAGGCACCAAACAGGTCTTTATCATTATTGCCGCCTTGAATATTCTCATTAGTAGTTGGCAGTGAAATTAAGATGATAATATCTGCGTCATTTTTTAGTTTCTTCCTGTATTAATCATATCTTACTGTTAAGAAGAGATAACTAGCTAAAAACTAGTGTGAGCTGCGTCGGTGTTTCTAATGAAGCAGTAATGATAAAAAGGTAAATTATACACCGTGAAAAGATGAAAAAACTTACTGACGTTTTGGACGCTAGTCCTTCGTCGGAGTAAAAGAGCTCTTCTAATTCGACGAAGGACTAGCGTCCGAAATGTCTTTTCATCTTTTCACGGTGTATAATTTACCTTTTTATCATTATTATTAGTTGTCAAAACAATCATTAATCTAAGGTCAAATTGAATACTAGAAAAACTGTAGTTCACTAGATTTTTATTAGTAATTAAAATGATCTATTGTTCTGCGGCTTTCCGGATTTGTTTTAGGTGTTCATTAAGTAGTACTTGTTCTCATGTTGGCATTCAGAAATTAATTCCGATCTTTTGTTGAGGAGGCTAGCTTTGTCGGCTTTAATAATGTAGAGGTTTTCTGTTAGGCAGAGATTACACCTTTTGGAGATGTTATTGTATGAACTTGCTTAGGCTGTTATTGACCAGTTGATCTTGTAATTTCTCCTGCCGTCTTTTAATATATATATATATCTATTTATTACAAAGTATGTAATGTGGTCTATACTGTTGAAACAGTGCTCGATGCGTAGGGATGCAGAGCAATAGATATATAGTAAAGATTGGATTAAAGACGAGACATGTTCACTGTAAYTCCGAGTTTCGTGCTTACGCACTCATCAGACAGACTTTAATCCATTAAAGTCTGTCTGATGAGTGCGTAAGCACGAAACTCGGAGTTACAGTGAACATGTCTCGTCTTTAATCCAATCTTTACTATATATATATCTATTTATTATATAGATATCGATGAAATACCAGGCCTAGGTTTTCTCTAGTGTCGAAAACTTGATATCTTTCACCAGTGGAAGATACCATATCTTTCACACGTGAAGATATCGCTGTTGAATCGGCTTGCTATTTTAATAAAGAATTTCTGAGCTTTTGTTTTATTTAAGTTTCATCGATATCTATATAATAAACAGAACATTACATGGCCGCTTGGAGATACGAATTTTATCTTCGAGTGTTCAATTGATATCTCACGAGTGAGCGCGCGCCCATGAAATATCCTCTATATATCCGATAGATAAATAATGCTTTGTCTCAAAATTGAGGGTCATTTATTGGTCATTTATTCGTTTCGACTGCAAACTGCTAGTCTTCATCAGGCGATGCTGTAGACTGGAAGGTGTGTCTGTTAGTATACCGCTCGTCGGATAATCTGTGCTGCAATTGGTTAGTCGGTTTGTGCTGCGAGTGGTTGTTTGGTTGTTGCGTCTCTCCCCACAGTGTTTTCTTATTGTCAGTATCCACAGTTCAAGGATTGTTACACTGTCCCTATTGATTTCATTAGGGTGGAGTCGGATCTGAATGGTTTCCTTGACTATGATAGATGTCAGAATTTTTCAAAAGAGGATTAATTGCGGCGAACGGCGCACTTCCGCTGTAATAAATTCTGATTGGTCAGTACGTTACTTCATCCCGGCACGTTTGATGGTAACAAGTATCTGATATCAATATATGCTTTAAGGCTCAAATCAAACGTCGAACTTCACAAGAGCCGAACCCAATTCGGATACAATGGATAACAAGGCCGTCTTCTCTATGATGTCATTAGGTTCGGCTCGTGACATTTGACGTTTGACATGAGTATTAGTATATGTTGCGATAAACTAAATACGTTTTAAATGAACTATCTTGTATTTCAAAGTGGTATCTTTTAATCCTAAACCCTAAACCTTAAATCTAAACCTAAACCTAACCCTAACCCTAACTTCTAAACTCTAACTCTAACTCTAACTCTAAGCTCTAACCCTAAACTCTAAACCTTAAACCCTAACCCAAACTCCCCCCTCCCCTCCTTTCCCACAGACGAATGAGATGGTATGGTGGAGAGTATCTATGGTTTTCTGGAGAGAATCTGTCGTTCGTGCCTCGCAGTTCTTCCTTCGATTCTCCAGGTTACCTTCACCAAATTGAAATGATAGAGCCAAAGTGTTACTCCTGATACAGCAGCAGCTTTACTGTTGTGTGGTATTGCATGGCATCACCTAATATTGTTTACATTTGTGCTGCGTAATACTTTTTTCTTTTTAATTACTGGAAAAAGTTAAGTATGTGGGTTGAGTTCGTTCGATATTGTACTTTTCAATCGCTAGGGTTAGCTTTTATTGTACTATATCGTATATTTATCTATTTATTATATTTTTTAATGCATTTGTCAATATTCAGTGTAAAATTGCGAAGATTGATTGTAATAAATCAATTTAGAATGTATAGAGAACCAAAAAAAGGAAATTTCCTTTCGATATGAATTTTCTCATTTGAAGACAATACCTTTGTAATTTAAGGTTGTGCGTCATTGGTTTCGACAAACGGGTGCAAATTGCTTTTTCTTTCTATATTTCCTATCTAAGCTCACTTCCTTGACTGCTGTAACCTTCCGTGAATGTTTGAGAACAACAACAACTGTTTCTGCTAAGCTGCCGAAACCTCCGTCGAATTCAGTTCCCCGCTGACTCAGTTTGGTCAAATATTTCAGTATCTTAACTAAAAATGGGCTGCAATATTTCAGCGGGTAACATGATGGGTAAAGAAGATGAAGAACGTCTTGCTTTTGGCGAAACACTGGATTCTGCTGAAATACTCCTTATTCGACAGACTTGGGTCAGTCTTGAACATAATATAAAAAATATTGGAAAAGAATTATTCTTGAGGTAAGATATATGCTTTCCTAATATTAGCTTGTTGATTATTTAATGTAGAACTTCAAAATATATAAAACTAAACGTAATTGGGAGAATTGGAAAGATTCAAGATTTTCTTTTGCGGTTGATTTATTCAATTTTTTAATGATTTCTAAAGCGGTACAATATTGATTTTTAAATGAGTATTTTCGTTGCAAAGGATATTTTTTGCTTCATTGTCAATGATTCTAAATGTTTGTTCTTCTTGGATCGGAGCACTAAGGCCGTAGGACAGCAGGTCTCGTCTAAGTCGCAGTGTACACAACCTTTGGAAGTTTTGGAGATATTCATAAAACTCATCACTGCTCGTGTTCCAATATATGAAGGACTATTTAAAATCGAGTGTAACTCACCCTCTGCGAATCTAAATAAATAAATCACTTTTATTTAAGTGTCTAGTCGTTCTATCGCTTTCGCACTAATTGGAGACACTTTTCGCTCACACGCACTACCACTACATTCAATATTCTATGCACACAACGATCAGCTCACATGTTGATTTTTACGGAGGCAGGAAAGCGGAAAACCCGGAGAAAACCCTCGTAGCATAGGAGAGAACAACACATCAGACCAACTCAATTCACAAGTGGCGACCGCAGGGCTCGAACCAACGACCCGTTGGACCCGCGGCAGCTCACATGTTGATTTTTACGGAGGGAGGAAACCGGAGAACCCGGAGTAGACCCTCGTAGCATAGGAGAGAAAAACACATCAAACAAACTCGATTCACATGTGGCGACCGCAGTGCTCGAACCAACGACCCGACCCGTTGGACTCACGGCGGTGAAAGACGACACGTTAGCCGCGAACGCCACCCATGCTACCCTGCCTAGTTCAGCATAGATCGCCTATCATTTTTATTTCAGTTTTGGTCATAATTTTGATAAATATCTATTAGGAAATCCCATGATCTCGAAAACAGTTCGGAATTTATAGGTTTCCAAGACATGTTTTGAAATATTTCAAAATTGGACGACACTTAATCTAAATAAGGTGAGTCAAGTTTGAGAACTTTCAAAAACATCACGAGTGTCTATCAATTCCGAATTGCACGAGAAGATCATGTGATTTTTGGTTTATGAAATATACTCAAGAAAATTGAGAAACTTAATTGGAACTCTACATAGTAAAATTAACGATTTAATTGTACTCTTCTTGTCCAATCAGAATCGAGTACTTTTTTTGAGTGTATAATAAGCAAAGTAATTATTTTTCTTACACGAATGGTAGATATTTCTTTTTTTTTTTCTTTTCTCTCGGCCTCTAATCTTAATCCATCTGAACCCTCAAACCTGTGACAGCAGTTTACCCGCGCAATCTTTGTCGTAGGTACTTCGAAAAGAATCCATCTTACCAAAATCTTTTCCCTGAGTTCCGGAACCTGAGCCGTACTGAGATGGAGCAGTCTCGTGCCGTATTAGGGCATGGAAAACGAGTCATGAAGGCAATAGAAAACGCTGTTTCAACTTTACACGACCATGAAGTCCTTGAAAGTTATTTTATAGAACTGGGAAAGAGACATGTAAATAGGAAATTAAAGGATTATCATTTAAAAGTGAGTTTTTATGTTAAATTATATCCTTTACTTGACTTATTTGTGTGGTAACCGTAGTCACGTTGAACGGATTCTTGAGATTTCATCACGTGATGGCAGCCATGACAGGAGGCACAACAATAGTCTCTTGCCCCTTGGAAACTGAGTTCTTTCTCATGTAAATTAGGTTAGACCAGATTCAATTGTTCCTGCCTCCTGTTATGGCTGCCATCACGTGATGGTACTTGCAAAGCCTCTATAGACCTCTTTAGCTTTGTTGTTTGTTGTGCACATTACAGACCATGTGATGCCACTCTTGGGAGTTGATTCTTTCACGTGTAAATATTTTAACATCTTCGTCATAAAAGAACAATTCTCAAGCGAATGTCATGTGATCTGAAATGCGGAATTTACATACGAAGGTAAAGAGGTCTATTAACTGATCTTTACCCCAGGTGATCTCGCCTCGAAGCGCGCAAAGGATTTTTTGTCAAAGCGAACAGTTCCTAATACATAGTCTCCTATTTCATAATATCTCACGGTAATCAAAATGGCGGCTGGTGATTAGACAACGCCGATTGCGCTTACTTTTATTGCATTTATGCTTTGTTTTCATTAGTTTTAATTGCTGATAGGGCAAGAGGGAGCTTTTCTGGTACATGTAACATATAATTTTTCAATGTAAAGTTATATTTCAGGACGTATTTTAAAAAGGTTAACTCGAAATACGACTCCATCCCGAAGCCATCATAAAAACTTTTGGTGATGCAACAAAAATGCTTCTGATTGGTTAATAGTAATTGGAAGTGCATGCGCGAGATCACCTGGACCGGTAGCGAACTTCATCACGTACTCACTACAACCCATTTATTCATTAATTGGACTTCTTGTTCATCAGGATATGAGGAGAGCTTTCATTGACGTCATACGTGAAAGGCTGAAGGATGTCTGGACAAGAGAAGTGGCAATTGCCTGGAGTAAACTGTTTTGTCGTGTCAGCGATGGCATGTTGAGAGGCCAAGTCCAGCAGAAGCACCTAACTTTATCACTAAAATCATATCCCAAGTACTAGACAAAGACATTAAATTCTTCGTTCATTTAGTATTCTTTCGCTTTCATTATCTATAATATGATCATGATGACAAGGTGCAAGTGTACCAACATTAATATCAGTATCAATGCACTTTTTATAAAACATTTTTTGATGTTTTTTTTATGAACTTCACACAGGATTTGGCGTGTGTGCCTTATAGTGTACCTTACTCGTAACGCCTAGCCAGCAGCAAATGTTTTTGCCATCTTTTCATTGTTACTATGTAATCATCCGGCTGCCTTATTGTGGATATATCTTTAACACAGCTTGTATATAATTCTGGTTGCACTGAATGTATGGTAGCTCAGTCCAATGGCCAGCTTTCAGGTGGGTAGGCATAACTTTTCCACGTTTACTTTACAATCGTCCTGCCTCAGTGTATTGAACATATCTTACAGCTTGTTATAATTCTGGTCGCACTGAATGTATGATGACTCGACTTGGATGGCAGGCAAGACTTTTCCAGTTTAATATATATCATGTCTTACTATCGATTTGCTTTGGCTCTATCGATCCCAGAGAGCATTGACTCAGTAATATAGCCAAAGAGTTCGGCCCAGGCTTGTGCTACATCTGTTGTGCATGCAGGACCAAGCATGTCTTGTAAGGTCCATAGCAGACACTCTCCAACAATCTGCCAAGAATCATAAAAGCAAATTAGTGATTTTTACTATCCAACTATTTAAATTAGAGTACAAATGATGGTAAGCCTGAAGCGACATTGATGGTTTTCACAGCCGCCATGTTGGATGAATTTAACAAAAGTTTCGTCATTATTCTCTTTTGTTATATCATCCAACATGGCCGCCGTGTCTTTAGTTATTTCATTCTCTTGAATGATTGAAAACCAGCAATTCGTACTCTAAGTTATTTTGTACAGTAAAAAAATCTTCATTTGGGAAAAAGTAAGCTCAGTTAATAAATAACTTATTTGACATTTTAGGGTATTTAGAATACGAGTGGACATGTTTTCTCGTTGTGTTTTGTCTCGCCCCATCGGGCTCGACAGGACTCGAAAAGATATCCATCCGTATTCCACCCTAAAATGTCTAGTAATAAGATCTATGTATCTGATCTATAAGATATATTTGTCAGTGTGGTGAAGATAACTAAATCCCACAAACAAAAGAAAATGAACTAAGAGGAGGAATCTCTGGTATTCATGTTTGTACTAGGCACCGTTTGATGCTATTTTAGAATCACATTTGAAACTCATGAGTGGGTTGAAACATGAAACAGAGATACAACTGTTTTGTGCGATGCTCGGGAATCGAACGAATATTCACCTTTTTTTCTTGAGAAATTTCTATCAGAACTCTATACATCCACTAGTGGCTGTATCTAATTAGCATTATTTATGCTTTCTTGTTGTACCTAATTATCTAATTCGCTTCCGTGTTGTGTCAGCCATACAATCTCGAGCCGGAGGCCAGTGATTGTATGGCCGATAAACAACCCGGCCGTTCCTATTGTGAACATTACTTACATCAAAATGTTGTCTTTGTATATTCCACGGAAGATGCCTGTCACCTAGATTGGCCAAATAACAAGTGAATGTCTCTGAATCATTAAGAGAAGACACCGCATTTTCCATTGCGTTCATGACTCGCTTTGCATGTAAATACAATGACCTTGAGTTAAGGATATCTTTTAATTCCAACCCTTTGAATGCAGGAAATGTGCTTTGCAGATTAGGGTTCAATTCAAATAATCTTAAAAACAAAAAGATAAGAATGCGATAAGTAATTAAGTAAATGTCAGTCTGCCATATCCGCTCTGTCAAGTCAGTGTCAGATTCGTTTTCACTATGTTTCTAACATGTCATTTCCCGTATGTGACTTTATATTGTCAACTATGACAATTTTATCAAATCTGATTGTTGAAAAAGTTTTTTTTCAATCTAGTAGTCTTAATTGAACACCTATAATTGGACTGTTGGCCGACAAGTCGAGCGCGGGCTCAAAATATTTTTTCAATGACTTTTCTCGCTTTTTAACCAAAGTATCCCATTGTTTTTTGGTCGTTTCATTATTAATAATAATAATAATATAAAGTTCTTAACAAACGCATCATACAACGTCTCGATGCTTTTTACAAAAGGACCAAACGGATATCAAATTTGTTGAAAAAATTGCAAAAAAAAAGTCAGTTACTCCTGGTGAACAGGTAGTGTTTTAGTGCAGATTTAAACTCTGGTACTGAACTTGAGTACTTAATTGCATCAGGGAGATTATTCCAGAGTGCAGCCAAATCGAAGGTTCTTTTTCCAAACGTTGATGTCTTTGGTCTTGGAGTCGCAAGCAGAAATTTAGAGGAGGAACGTAGGGTAGTTAGCATTACATAATTACTTATATTTAAATGGAAATAGGGCTGAGGGTCGTCTTATTCTGTCTCTAATCATATACTCAGAATGATTACAGAATGCAACGAATTGGACTCCACTTATATCAGACCTATTATACCATTACCGCTAATTATCCATTAATTCGATGGTCATAAATTTTAAATGAAATACCCTGTCACCTGCAGATGATTTGTTTCTTACGTCTAATTTTTTATTTTTTTTTATTATTTATTTATTTTTTTTTTTTACTTAAACATCATCTCAATTTTGTATTTTAATTCAAATTTTGCTTTTGAAAAAAATCCAAGAAAAACATTTTTTGCACTCGGCTCGGCTCGTTAAGGCCCCGTCCACACGTATCCGGAAATTGTTGTATCCGCAAATTATTTTTTGCGGATACGAAAATGTTTGCGTCCACACGCAGCGTATTCGAATCGTTTTCACCGTCCACACGTATCCGTTTTCGTAAAATGTGCGGATACGGACACAAAAATTTGCGGACACGTGTGGACGCAACCCGTATCCGTAAAAAAAAAAAATTGCGGATACAAAAATTTGTGGACACGTGTGGACGTTGCCAAAAAGTGAATGACGGGCTAAAAATACTAGTAGATATGTGCACCTGAATTTGTGAAAGTTACGAGTTTTTACAAATTTACAGCCAAATTCGCAGTCTTGTTGCCAATTTTGAACAATGCATACTGTAAATCATCCCTTGAGCCAATCTATTGGAAATAAGATTTATTTTGATCACTCGCTGTATTTGAACTCAATGCTTCATTTCAGAGAGTTCGAAACAGAAGCCAAAATGTTCATTGCTCGAGTGTCCTCAATTACTGTAACCATCGTCAATTGACACTGAACATTTTTCTTTTTCCTTCCTTGAATAGTTTACTCTCTTCAAAACTGTAAAATTCGCGGTTATGTTTGTGTTCCTGGTGTAAACAAGGCTTCAGAATAAGTTTATTAGTGTGGTACTCTAGCACCTTCGATATAGAGATTTTGAATATTTATTCCTTCAACATATATACTTGGTTGTTAAATTTTGCCTTGGGAATAAAATCAGTTCCCCATCGAATCTAAGGCAAAAAAATGAACTCTATCGGTGTTCCAGAAGCTCTACGCCTAAGGTCATATACGATTCCAAATGAAACTGTTACTGAGAATGTGATGAAAATGAAAAGAAAAAAATAGAATTGCCAGATAAAAGCCGGCAAATCTAAAAAGTACACTTCAAGATTTTTTGATTGATGTATGATATGCAGGCACTCAGTAATAGGAGTAATGTGTATTATGTATGTGTCTCAAATTAAAGTGTAAAAACAATTGGTGTTCATTTACAGCTTTTAAAGCTTTTACAGCTTATTATTTATGATTTGGTCACGAAAGAAAAAAAAAAAAAAAAAAAAAAATTTTAATGTCTTTAACCAATCTACTTCAGATCGTTTTTCTATCCTTTTAGTAAGAATTGATTGATTGTGATATTCATATTGTACACAATGCAATATCTCAAAGCTGCATTAACGAGGCCTTTTAATGTACAAATACAACACTATTATCATATAATTTGATCTTATTTTATACGAAGGTGTAAAAAATGAAAAACTCTGAAAAATAGTCCTTAGACTTCGCGCTCAGAACAATGTGACCCTCGAACCTTGTTGTAAATGTTAGTAAAAAAACAAAAACGAAAAAAAAAAAAAAAAAAAAAAA